ACACACACACACACACACACACACACACACACACACACACACACGTTTTATATATTTCATTTTCTATGCAGAGTGTTTAGAACTTACACCCAAAACATCAACGATGACTGCTAGTAAAAGTTGTTTTTACTGAATTACAGCTAGAAAAACCCAGTGAAAGCATCTACTAAATGACTATAATGCAATATGTTGTATACAGTATGAGTGATACATTTACTGTACTGTTTAGTACTTGAGTATTTCCCTTTTATTCAACTCTCTCGTTAAGTGAGTTAAGTCAAGTAATCGTATGAACGTTAATTGACTTAGAACGTCTTTGGTGGAGGACAGCCCTAGTTTTGAATAAAGGACTTTTACTTGTAGTGGTGTATTCTCACAGTGTGGTATTAGTACTTTTACTTGAGTACAGTATCTGAATACTTCTTCCACCACTGAGCATGATGGCACTGAATGTTGCTAAAAAAAGAAGCAAACCAACTGCTTGTGTATGTGATAAACCTTACATGTAGCCGACCGCGCTGCAGGAAAAGCTAAAGTTGTGCAGCAACACACGTTCATTTATTTTGTTATCTTACTGAATGTTGCATCTGGAAGATCTTTGTCCATTTGAGCTGCGGCCCTTCAGGATCCCATGACTTGCTCCTGAATCAACATGTTCACAGCATGTTAAAGCACACGCATGCATCCAGACATGTAAACATAAACACACAGAAGCACATACAAATACACAGAAGCTTTACACTAATAACTTCCAGGTACCATGCACATGATTTAGCCTGTTGTCATTCAACCAAATATTTTTGTTTTACAAGAATTATTATCAGTATTGTTTTTAACGTTTTAAAACATTTGAGTGAAATTCTTTGGACTCACAGCAAAGCCGGCTGATGAGAGTGACGTTTGAAACGTCGTGCCGCAGCTGCCGGTTGTTCTGCGTCCGGCCTCACTGGAGGTTGACGACCTCGAAGTGAAAGCTCCTCCTGATGACCAGAGTAACATTCACCTCCATAAAGAGGACGGTCACTCTGGGGCTTTCCTCTTGACTTATTTGAAGCCATTACTGACATTGATAAGGAATCAGTTTCTAGATGAGGTGTAAATGCAGCGCTAGCTCTCATTGGACGATGTTCAAGGGATTGGTTTTGAGGCAGAGAGCCACAGAAACCAAAACCTGACTGTTGTTGAGCGAGGATCGGACGTGGTTGTTGTCCACGCTGTATGAAATGAGACAACTGATTTTTGTCGGTAATAACACCCGACTGTTGTTGTTGTTGTTGTTGTTGTTGATAGCCGAAAGTGGAGTCTGCGGATGTCAGGATATTATCTGTGAGCACCGAGTCTGAAGACTCTCTCTCTTTTGCAGAGGATCCGGCCTTACGTTCAGACAGCACTGAGAGAGGAGCAGCTTCAGGCAGTGTCATAGAGCTCAATGAACTCCCGACTCGTTTTCTCCTGCTAAGAGACCGAGGCATTGGTGCACTCTCGAAAGTTCCAATATCTCCCATTGTGCCGCAGAGAGGGGACATTCCTGCTGAACTGAATAGACCAGAACGTTGTGGTGGATTGAATCGTTGTAGCCCTAAGCTTGCTGAACTCAAGACCAGACCTAACCTGGCAGGATGAAGATATTTGGGCGGTATGGATGGAGGACCACCTGGGCGAGGAGGAGGAGGGGGAGGAGGAGGAGGATGGAAGGAGAGGCCTAACGGTTGATGTAAAGGAGGGGGAGGTGGAGGGACTGAAGAGGCAAAAAATTGGGGTTGCCCTTTTAAAACTTGGAATGGAGGAGGAGGAGGAGGAGGAGGAAGAGCACTCCCAGGGGGAGGCATGTCAACGTTCCCTGTTGCAGAAAGAAATCCGAAAATACACTCAGCCAACATGGCCTCTTCACTATCCGGACTGCTTTTGCAGTTTCCAAGAAATGACATAGGTGACATACTCGAGGAAGATGCACTCTACAAAAAAGGAGAAATAAAGAAAACATAAAAGAGTCTATCTTCTGCTCACTAAATGAAAAACATAACTAGCTTTTCCACACAGATACATTGGTGTGACTCTGCTGTCACATTCATTTGCATATATTTGTGACGCACATGCGGGAAGAATTGAGGAAGTATTATCAATAACTTCAACATAGTGTAGCAAATGAGTAGAGCGTTGTCCTGCGTCAACGATAACACGTGTACAATGCCACACGAGGATATGTGATGCTAATTTAGGATTTATTAACCTATTATGTGTTAATTACTGTTTTATTTTTGCATAAAAAAAAAACAAAAAAGCTGCTCTATTGCCCCCCCCTCAAATAGAAAATGTGCAACTGCAGTTTGTGACTAACCGTGGGTGAGTAACTTGGAGAGAGTGTTCGATTCCTCACCTGAGGAAGGAGGTGGCCCCACAACAGAACAAAGAGACGAGAACAGCACAACAAAGGGACAATTAGTAAACACAACAACAAAGCATCCTTTCCCCAATGATTACACAACACACAGTGTGACGTTACCAGCAGGGAAAAAGACCTATCCTCAGCACATTCTCCCCAGTCATCATCATCTTCCTCCAACTATAGCAGAGACAAATGCAGATTATAAGAGTGACGATTAGTAAATCACAACAACAAAGCATGAGCTTTCCTTTCCCCCATGATTACACTGAACAATGTGTGACGTTACCAGCATAGACTGTAGGCATTCCTCATGCTCCTCCATAGACTCTTCCTCATCCTCCTCCATAGACCCTTCCTCTTCACTATGCTGAGGAGAATCCCAGCTGATGTAGGGGAGGAAGTCCACGTCTTCCTCTGAAACCAACTTGGGGATGTCTGTGACGCCCTCCTCGGTTTGTTTGGAGTCCTAAAAACAAGGTGGATGAGTTTTGTTCCTGGTAACTTGGGAGCTACAAAACAAATGAGGTCCAGGGTGTAAAGAGAGGCGAGTGGGTGGTGATCACTACACATAACAGTACGACTGTGACAAACCCTTTCCTCGATGGCCACGAAGCTGGTGAACTGAGACAGGATGGAGAACTCTTTGCTTAACTCGATGATGAAGTGCTTTAACTCCGCTTTCTTCCCCTGGAAAAGCAAATAAAGAATAAATTTACAGGTCAGCATGTGGAGCTCAGATTGGACGTCTAAACCGCGATGGGTTGAAAAATCAATAAAATCAAATAAGTTAAATAAGTTAAAATCAATAAATCAACGTACGGGAAACAGTGCACACACCTCATGTTCAGCTTCATTGCTATCCAGGCTTCCGTCTTCATAATCCCTGATGAGGGCCCTCGCTGTCAGCTTGTGAAGGAACTGAACACACAAGACTGCATTGAGACTGCTGAGTGTGTGTGTGTGTGTGTGTGTGTGTGTGTGTGTTCTTACTGTGCCCCTGGTCTTCTGCAGCTCACTGGTTGACACCATGGTTTTGAGCTCCTGACCGCTCAGATTTCCCAGCAGGGTGGCCTGTGGGAAGTAACAATCATTTGAGTCATTCATAAAAAATACTTTAAAAAAAGCCAAATATCTGCTGCCTGGTTTGCAGCTTTTTCAAAGGTAACCTTTGTTATTGTGTCACGTGACGAAGACAGCCGTGGAATCGTGAGTGAGAGTTGGAGAGAGGACAGTCGGTGTTAGACAGTGTGTAGCTTCGTGTTGTCTAAAAGATGTTTAATGTCATGACTGAATATCAAATAACAAACAGACCGGATCAAGAGAAAAGGAATCAAAGAAAAGGGTTTGATTTCTCTGTTGGGTTCTTTCCATCATGTTGTCAGACACTTATAATAACAATCTGAGCCTGTCAGAGGCAGAATAAAACACTTAGTGGACGTACATTACAGCCCGTTTAGTGGCTGCTGTCTGCAGCGTTCTCCCTCAATACCGGACCAATTTTAGAAAACTGTTGTCCTCATTAGTCACTTAGACACAAACACATGGGAAAACAGAATCCAGATTGAAAAATGACCCTTTAAATTTGCTGCTTTACTATGTTTTATATCATTGTGAATTTAATGTTGTTGTGTTTTTGACTAATGGTCAAGATCACCTCGAGCTAGTTTCGGGTATTTTGGACTAAACAGATGACTGAAGAAAAGAAATTGACGGATAAAATAATAGTTATTTGCAGCTTTAACCGAGAAAATATAAAAATGATAATAAAGGCAATTCAGCGGTTCGGCATCACGCATATAAACTGCGTACCTGAGTGCAGTGCGGCACAAAGCCGTAAACCAGCGTGTGGCAGTCATTGAACAGAGCGTGGAGCTGCTTGGGGGCTTGTTCAGGAGGAGACGCCGTTGGGTTGAACTGCTGCCACTTTACCGACACCGAGCTGCAGCCGGGAGACGCCATACGCTTCACCTGACACGCCACCTGCCGCCAACACAACAACCAACGGAGGTTTCCATTAAGTATGAATAACTTCTCTTGTTTCATTATAATCCATTAACAAATCAGTGCATGAACAATCTGCATATACTCTGTGATTATCTGTGATTGATCAAAGGCAGTCAGTCTCACCTTCTCTGCCCAGTTGTGTTTGGTTTTTGTGTCAAAGTATTCAAAGGCTCCGCCCCCCGCCTGGGCCAAGGCTCTCAGCATGTGCCGATTGGCTGTCGGGCTGAAACCACAAAAAACGTTCAAACACACACCTTTAAAATGTCTGTAATCTAACAGAAGCCCATAGTAACTGCTATTATACTGTAGACAAACGCTGGTGTTGAAAATGTCAACGTGTCTGACGGTAGAGCTCAGAGAGCTGTGACCTACGACCCCTCGACCCGTTCTCACCTGAGGCCGCAGGTGAAGAGGCGGCTGTGCCGAGCGTTGTCTCGGAGCAGCTGCAAGGCGAGCTCTGCGTTCTGGACGTGGCCGTCCGACAGCAGCAGCAGGTTCCTGACGCCGCGGGACGGAGGCAGCAGGCTGAGGGCTCTCAGGGGCCGCCACAGCTCAGTGCCGCCCCCTGCTGGAGAGGAGAGCTGGTGGGAGGGAGAGGGGCACAGCTGTCAGGACACACAGGCTTCAGCTGAAATGATGAGCAGCCAAGAGGGAAAAGTCGTTCAGCCTCCGACTTGTAAATATAATGTTTAAAAAACAACAACTAGCTTTTGAATTAATTGCCCACAAATAATTGTATATTAACTGAGGTCTGATACATTTTAGAGTGTAAAATATTTCACAGCTTGCTCTGCAGTTGAACTTTAGCTTTAGGTTCATCTTATTAATCAAATGAAACAACCACAGGATCATAATAAAAGCATCTGAAGATCAAATATTAAAAACTCTGCAGCAGCACTGCTCATTATTCCACATGCAGCACACTGTGTTTCAGGCTGAACTACAGTCTGACAGAATGTGACACAAGTCACCTTGATGAAGCTCTCTGCTGCCGGGCGAGCTTCAGCGAGCGGCTGTGCTGTCAGGAAAGCGTCTGAGTGATCTGAAGGACGAGAACACGGACAAAGTCAGGAAGATTATGACTAATGTTTCATTAGCTACTTTTGTGAAATATTGGGTACGATGATGAGCAACGAGACATTGATTTAACAGGTTTATCAAGAGAGGACTTCAACGTTTTGATATGCAATTATCTTTTACTGGTGGGAATAATATTAAGATCACGTGAGATGAAGTGCTCAAAAGAAGTGCTGGTTTAACTCCTTTATTCATGGAGGTGTCTTGCACTTTTATTCCATAGTGTATTGAGACTTCTCTTTTTTCTATTTTAGCTTCCTCCCAAATGGTGCTATTGTTTCACTCTGTGTCACCTTTCCAACTTGTACTTCCTGTCTTTTAATAATTAAAGGATCAAACTGACCTGTGCCGAAGAAGATGACATTGAGTCGGAGGTTGTGGCCGAGGGTTTTGAGGACCTGCCGGGCGATTCTCCGGGCCATGCGGAGAGACTCTCCCTTCATGGACTCGGACGTGTCCACCAACAGGACGACTTCATCGGACGCTAAAGCGGAGTCGACTTCAAAGTCTGGATAGAAAACCAACATGCTGGCCTGAAGGAGAGAGCCAGAGTTAGAGAAAGAGAGGAGCACATTCAGACAGATCTACACTGGACCTGAACTGGACTTGTACCTTTAGCACTTTAGTGTGGCGGTGACTGATTTGTATGCATAGTTACACATAAAACCCCCCAAAGAAAGAAAAGATGATGATAAGAAAGAGAGACGGACCTGGCTGTCCTTGTCAGGGTGTTTCTCCACCCACATCCTGGGCAGGTGCACCTCAGACAGAGTGATCGACAGCTGGAAACCGTCTTGACCCATGACCTCTCCTGGCAGCACACTCACCACCGCCTTACAGTCAGTCCTCTATGTGATCACACACACACGCACACACACACACACACACACACACACACACACACACACACAGATTATGTTTGTTTGTTAAAAGAAATGATCTGCTGAATGTATCCGTCATCATTTCAGCTCTAAAATGTGAGCAAGACAGTTGAACTCCATTTGTTTTACGACATGCAGGTTATTCAAAGAGAAACAGCTTCAACATCAAAACCGAGGAAATATCTGACAAACATGTAACGATATCTAAAACACATGAATAATAAAGTGTGAAAACACCTCATTACCTTCATCTTGACTTTGTGCGTGATGCACTGCAGGTTGGTGATCTTATTGGGCATCTCGACTGACATGTCCAGGGTGAACTCTCTGAGGGAGAGAAACAACACATTATTAAAGGACACACACACACACACACAGGAGGAACACACACTCTGCATGAAGGACAAATGATTCGCTGATTAACAAAAGTGTCCTTGATGAACTAAACACCGCTGAAGACGCAGCACTTCAGACGGAGGCAGATTGCAGCGATATAAATTGTATTTAAATAATCGAAACACACAACGCAGCTCACCTCGCCTCATCGGTCACACACACCTTCTCCACAGTGACCTGATGAGCAATGGAAGACACACAAGAAGAAGAATATTCGCACAACCGAACACAACCAAGACACAACGACACAAACCCAATGAAGCTAAATAAATACGTTAATAAACAAAAACAGCAACACTTGGCCCACAAGTATGGTATCTTGATAAAGGCAAACTAAGGAATAAAACTAGCAGTATATTATATATTTCATATTGTATATTTAATACCAAAAGGAAAATAAGGAAAAGAAAAAAGGGCGAGAAGCTACAGACAGAAGCAGCGTTTTCTGTTGGGACCTCCCCTCCAGGTTCTCCTCACCTGCGTGGTCTGGTTGAGCGCTGCGCTCTCCTGCCACGGGGCCACACTCCCGGGCAGAGAGAAGAGAATACTCCCGTCCCTCACCATCAGCTCGCACACAAAGGTCACCTTGATGAGGACCGTCGCACCGGGCGGCAGATTGCCCACGCTGATGGTGAACACGTCCTGCAGGGAGCACAGAAATGACATCACAACCAGCGTAGGAATAGAGTCGCAACAGGAAGGAGGAGGAGCTATTTTGGGCTCCTTCTGGTTCCAGAATTAAAAGTCCTGCATTAGAACATATCTGGTTGTTTGATACAAAAGGCATCTCAGGTCTACTGGTTATGATATTTCAGAGTTTGAGTGCTGGCGTTAGAGCTTTAATCAGCCCGAAGACGAGTGTTTGAGAGTGAACATACGGGGGCGTCCTGGTCCATGAGGTAGGCTCCGTGGCCTTTCGCAACAGCCTGCTTGTACTCCCTGCGAGCCGTCTCTTTCTCCTTCACCTGAGATCCAAACAGACACAGAAGCAATGAATCCATAATGTTACTTTAATCCTTTAAAAGTGTTGATAATCACTCACTGGCCTTCAGGCACGAGGAGAAAGGAAACGACTGTACCATCAGTGCATTTGATTATAAACTAACTCCTAGATGCAAGTCTGAAAAATAATGCAGCGACATGGAGAATGGAGCCTCGTTACATCAACAGCTGCAGAAAATAAATTCAGCGTCACGTCACACTACATGGAGGGTTAACCCCGGAGTATCACTGTGTGTTGTACTTTACATATGGTCATCAGAAGCAGCATCTACATTACAACCTCAGCAAACTGCTGTAAATAAAGATAAATAATATAAATAATACTCTGATGAAACTACATGTTAGGTAATTAAAGACATACAGTTCAGTCTGTGATAAGAGTTTAGATGGGTTACCTGTCCCACCACATGTTTCCCATTGATGAAAGCTTCAAATCCACAGACTGCTGCAGAATCGTCCAACGGGAAGACATACTTTGCCTCGATGGGCACAGAGCTCAGGTTGGTGTATTTTTGGAAGATGATGACCTAAAAGGACAGAATAGACGACAGGTTATAAGGACAGACGGCAGTGCTTTGTTTTAGACATGAGCCAGTGAACTCAGCAGTCAGTTAAAGACCTTAATCAGCCATCGAGCTGACAGATAACTAATTAAAGAAAAGCTGAGTCTTCACCTGTGAAAGCAGATCCATCAGCTTGCACTTCACGTGGACGGCCTGCAGAGGGAGCTGCTGACCCGAGCTGTCCAACAGGCCGGCCTTCACGTCCGCCAGCGGGTTTCTAATGCTTTCAACCTCGTCATCCTCCAACATCAAGCCCCGACCTACACACACACACACACACACACACGATATCAAAGTGAAGTTCAACAAATTACAACTAAATGAAACTGTGTCTTTATAACTGCAGTAATTCTCCCTCATAAAACACATAACAATGATTTATAGACCACTAGACACAATGTTTATACGCTCAATGAATACTGTATACATAATAGATGCTTTATGGAATCAATAAAGTGAATCTTATCTTTCTCCACATCCTTTAAGACTTCACATTTACATAATGTTAAACACTTAAAGACCTGCAGACTAACAGGAACACTGTCAGTCAAGTTATTTCTGGATAGAAATGTGATGAAGTAGAAACACCATCTCTGGTGATGACAGTCCACATGATGTTTATTAATTAATACTGTATTACAACGACGTTAAAATCTGTCGGCAAAATCTGTGCAGAAACACGTTTTGTTTACAACTATTTACAAATGTCAGTTTGAAATGACAGACATTAAACTATACTGTTACGCATCCTGGTGTTAATAATACAATATATATCTAATGTTATCTAAACAGAAGATCCTTTCAATGCCAACAAATGCTGTGGAGATTGTTTGATATTCTTTTCATAACAAGACAATTTATTGACTTTATCAAAGTGGGTTAAAATGGCTTCAGGAGCCCAAAGAAGACATTTTTTCAATCATGTTTTAATCCCTCAACTGAAAAGAAAACACGACAATCGTCACAAAACAATGAAGTGTGTTTTAATGAACCCTGACGAGATCTGTACATTTTTCATATTGTGCATTAATCCAGTGCTCACCTTGGTCAGAAGAGGGCGGAGCCGGCTCAGCTGAGGTGTCGACGGCAGGACTGAACTCCTTCAGCCGGTCTCCCTCGATGCTGAACTGGACCACGTACTTCAGTTTCACCTGGTCGGGACTGTACACCACGTACTCATCGTCCTGGAGTGTAGTTAGACATGTTGAGAGTGCACAGACGGACAGATGCGTGAGCGCTCAGAAATGCTAAATATTATCACAATAAGTTTGACAGAAAAGTCCCAAAAGTGACGGAATTAAGGAATTAAGTAAGGAAACTTACACACGAGTTAGTTTTCACAAACAATCAACATATAAAGACATTCATTGATCATTTCAAAGAACTTCTAGAATCTACTTTGAGTAACACAGCCTTTAGGAGCAAGAAATATATATATTTTAGCTGTACAGACGTGCTGTTATTTCACTTTTTTGTGCAAGTCTTTTTTAGTTGTAATTTTGTGTGCACATGGGAGCATCCAAAGTGAACCAAATCTGAATAAAAAATCTTTGACGTCATGGTAAATAACTGATCTGTGTCTGAACATATTAGCAATGAAAATCAGATGAGGGAGACCTAATGTAGAGATGTGTCCATCAGTCTATTTATCTTTCTGTCCACATTCACTAACTCTCCTACCTCAAACTCAGAGGGAGTGTTGCGGGTGCGGCGGACCCCGTGCGCGCTGTGGTGTCCCTCGGGAGCCTGGGTAAGAGTGACGTCTCTCTTGTGCACGTCACTACAGCGTCCCAACGCCACATCGCACACCAGCAGCAGCCGAGAGCCGTCCGTCTCACTGCGCTTGGAGTATTTCAGACAGGTGCTGTGGACGAAGAACAAAAGAGAGATGAGGAACACGGGCTCACTAGACTCGTAGATATTCTTTTTATTAAGGCAATAAAAGAGTATTGTACGGAAAGTGGTGTTATAAGTCAAAACAAACTGAATAAACCTCGTCAATTTCAGATTTTCTACTAACCTAACGGCATCACTAAAGTAGATTCCACTGCCCAGATTACCGACATCTGTCCTCTCGATCCCATGATGCTCCACTCCAACACGGGGCAGCAGCAGACCACTAAAAGAGAGAGAGAAAAAGAACGAGTTTCAAAATAAAAGTCCAAGTCAGATTTCTTAATTGTTCAGTTGAAGATGTACAGTAGACCTGAAGTATACTCTACCTATAAGTATTATCATATATCACATCGCTAAGTAATATATGCATACATATATCAACAGTTCATAAACAGATTTGTATCTTTGCACTTTTGTCTTGAACTTTATTTATCCATAAACGCTGAAGGAGGATGTTGGGACGCTCATGACCCCAGAAGTCTATAATAACAACAAGAATCTGAGGATGCTCAATTAGTTAAAATGGGATGTATTCAACGTATAAATGATAACTGATTTTTATCATGAAAGTATTTTGTGTGTGTGTGTGTGTGTGTGTGATCTCACCGAGACAGGACTCCCACAAAATTGCTGGGGCTGGAGGAATGGAGGAGGGGCTTAATGTTCCCGACCTCGCTCTTAAACGTCTGAAGCTCGACCCCTCTGCTGACACGCAGAACCTGTCGGACCTGCACCCTCCTGCACAGGAAGCACAGGATGTGAACGTGGTGAAATGAGATGCCACACTCACCTGAATACATATTCATATATTTTAAAATATTTATAGGCGTTTATGGATGGACACTTCGGCCTTCGATGAAATTTAAAAACGCACAAAAACACACTTGAAAGCTGTTGACCTCCATACCTACCTACTCACTATTTATTATGATCTCCAGGTGCATCATGCAATCGCTCAGGTCTGTGCGTGCGTCCTTGTGTGCATCCGTGAGTGAGTGTGTGCAGTGTCTGTTCACGGCTAATCTCGGTATTCTGTTGCAGCAAACTGCATAATATCTTGTGTGCCCAGTTATGGCTGCATGCTCAAGGACCTCTCGTGGTTGCGGTGACTCACACTCTCTCAAAACACCTTCCACTGCCTGTGTTATACTTCCAATGACCGCCTGCTGACTCCTCGCTCACTGCTCTTTACCTGCGCCCGCCAGTAGGGGCCGATAGTGATGACACAGCTGAGTGCTTCGCCGACCTCGAGCCGCTACTCTTGAGTCTTTTGGACTGGTTTGTTTGGCCAACAGATAAAGGAAAACCACCAGTACACATGCTGCTAAGTACCAAGCTGATACAGACAGCTTGGTGAGTTTAATTTTGTTTTTGGCAGGATTGTTTGTGTCTTATACAACAATTTATCTGTTAGACAATGTAAACTGGGATATGGTTCAATTATAGCACGTTCTGTCTGTCTTTTGACTGAAAAAATACATTTTAAGTGGCATGCCAGAATCCCCTTTTCTGTTATGTTACTCCTCTCTGCAGTGGACGTTTAATACAAATAAATGGAAGAACCAGGAGGATGAGACTCGCTGTTAGATTGTGTGATAAAGCTCGTATTTTCTGGTCGATCTGTGACAATAACTGTCCTTAAATAAGAACACAATCAACAGGTTTTGTGAAGAGACGTGTATGCGTTTGAGGTTTAGAAACACTGCATCACTGCAGTGAGGATATTAGACACAAGGCAGCGTCTGAGGCGCTACGCTACCTGCTCTGAAGCAGAGCGGTCACAGCCTGAAACTCGGAGGTATCCGGGGGAACGGTCTCGATGCTGCACCTCAGAGCGCGGTACTTCCCCAGAGAGGAAGGCACGGGGCTTCTCAGGGTCGTCTCGCTCACGTTCAGAACATCTCGGATTAACTGGACAAAGGAGAAATTGATCGTGTTGGTGTTAGCCTGGATATACACAGGGGACGGTGGTGAGTTGGGTTTATGGATGTGAGCTCATGCCATGTCTCCCAGAGTGGATGTGCAGGATCAAAGGATCAATTGCTTGCATTGACTGTGTTGTCTATCGATATTTTGTGATCAAACTGTAAAAATGTGTAAGTGTGCCAAATACTAGAACTGTTTAAAACCAAAAAAAGACAAATTAAGTCTCATTATTTGATAATAACAAAGGTTTTAATTACCGCACATTAAATGCAATGAATGAATATTTGAAGTTTTAAAATGTTTACGTCTTTGTTAAATAAAACTAAATGTCTTTAGAAGGCCAAGAATAGAACATGGAATCCCTCAACTGATAAAGAAAACATGATAAATATCACAAACAATATGGTGATGTCATAATATCTGCTTTTAACACACCATACTAGGTGCTAATTGTGTATAACTGTATATACTATATACTACTTGTCTTGGGAAATGTTTTTGCAGTTAGTATATCAAAAAATTCTATATATTAAACAATATGTGCGTCAATCAAACTGCATCTTTGGAATGACACTGCCTCATAAATAGACGTCAAATTGCTTTTTTCAAAGAAGGTAAGGATTGCAATATGAGACAATATTTTCCATCAACACTGTTTGTGGATGTGCACATGAAAGGACCTTTCAAAGCGTGATTGTTTGGTTCTTTATGTCTTAGTGTGTGTGTGTTCATGTTGGCACATGTGTGTGAGTTCAGCGTTACCTGACAGAGGTCCAGTTTCTGAGAGATGAGCTTGGCGGTGGGAGGATATTGGAAGGGCACGACGTGCAACAGCAGCGTGTAAACCTCGTCAAGGAGAAACCCAGCCGCAGCATGATTGTTCTCCCTGAACTTCCTCTGAGCCAGGAGCAACAAGCCCTCCACCCTGCTCACCTACAACACACACACACACACACACACACACACACACACACACATTATTGTTATGATATTCATGATTAGACCGTCTTTCAAACAACAGGCTGACGGAACAGCAGACGTTGCTTTCAGTAAATCGACAGCAGACTGAGATTTAGCGGAACGATCAAAAGAGAAAACATTACATCGTTGAGGCTGAGCTTGTCGATCGGAACTCGGAGGACGTTGCCGAGAAGACCCAGAGCCTCGGTCCACAGAAGCTCTACAAACACGCCCACTTCTTGTGATAAGCTTCCCGTGTTGAGCTTCTCCTCCAGCAGCAGCTGCCGGTTAAAACAAGGCTCATGAAAATCAAGTGATCAGCTCATCAGATTCAGCTGAACGGGCCTACTGACGACAGACATCACAACAACACAAAGTCTGCCTCGAAATCCGGCTAAATAAGATGCTGTGTGTGTGGGAAACACCTGTAGGAGCCATTTAGAAACAGGAAAAGAGGAAAATACAGCCACTTTAACATGCACTAAGATGATAAAATCACGCAATTATGCTGAAAACTACAATGCTTCGTTACAGTGTGATATCCTTCTCACAGTTACCTGCAGATTTTTGTTTCTTGTCAGTAAAATGTGTAACGCTGTTTTAAGTAACAGTGCATCGAGTGTGTCGGACCTGCTGGAGGGGGGCAGAGCCCAGGTGGGAGACTTGTGGAGGGGTGCTGGTCCTCAGCTGCAGACCGGTGGCCTGCAGGGTCTCTCTCAGGGACTTGTAGACCTCCAGAGCTTCTTCTGAGGTGGACAGAAACACCAGCGTGTCCCTCACCGCCTCCTTCTGTTGGCACAAACACGGGCGGCAAATGCTGTTTGGCAGACGCAGAAGCTTTTTCTAATTTATAATGAGGAACTTCTGAATACTTGTAGTTCCTCTATTGTAGAGAGCTGACATGCAGTAACAGACTTCATACCTTGGTTGATATATCGTCCTTCCAGTACTTGACCACTCGGTACTTCCATCCTTTCTCTCCTTTGTGACTCTGCAGCTCCAGCACACACCAAGTGTTGCTGTTTATCTACAGAGAAATGCATATTATTAATAATAATTACAGCACTACTGGAGTAGCAGTGGTAGAAAAGCTCAAAATAAATTGCAGCGTTACCTTTTCAAAGATTGAATACTTCGCCACTTGGAAATGATCCGGATACTTTGGAAGATCAGAATCAGTTTCTGTGAAAATTCTGTGAAATGCAAAGATTAATGTAGCTTCATATAAAATGTTGACTTAGTTTTTAAACTCTTCTGGTGTTTTCATCAGCTGTTTCTACAACAAAGGTATGTGATCAGTGGCAACCTCAGCTTCGAATGTACAACATTGAGATTTAAAGGAAGGAAAGTGATTCTTTATGTGCTGCACCCTCAGCGGACAAAGTGTTCCCTGACTGTGACTATAATCCTTTATGAGTGCTTGACTGAAGCAGCAGAGAATTCTAAATAATATACGGGCTACCAATCAGCTGGATCATATTCTACTGTATGCCATCGTCCCCCTCTTCAAAAACCCCCCAGGCTAACATGAGGACCATCCTTCGTTGTTCACACCTGCACTTCTCCAGGACGTTTCCACTCTCTGCCCTCTGACTCAGGCCGACAGTGTCCACGGGCTTGGCCGGGCCTTTGGTCGGGCCTTTGGCCGGGCCTTTGGTCGGGCCTTTGGTCGGGCCTTTGGCCGGGCCTTTGGTCGGGCCTTTGGTCGGGCCTTTGGTCGGCTCGGCAGCTGGTACTTTGAACGCTACAAGACAGAACAGATTAAAAAGACACACCTAGCACCACTCGTTCTGCATTAGCTCTGGTATGCATTTAAACCTGAGTACACACACGGGCTATGTAAGCAAGGTGACATGTGGAGGTGCTCGTTACACAACACTGCTGCAGGTTTTATTTGGCTCTGGAGAAAGTCTGAATGTGCAACAAAGAAACAAACAAACACACCCTTTATCTGACCTCAATGGAGTCAAACCTGTTGACTGAGTCTACGCTGTATTTTCTATCAGAACGTCCAGATGTCAACAGAAGTGGAAGACGAAACAGCAATAACCTGACTTGTGTCTGTGCAAATAAAAGACTGAGAGGAGTCCTGAGTCATTGTGTGTTGGAACTGGGTGGAGTCCTTCTGATTGAGTTACGTCTGCACTTAAGAGAGTTAGGAGTCCTTCATCATCAAGAGTTTTCCATTTCGCTGCAGCAGTCACAATACATTATTGTCCAACAGGGATCAATACATATGCAGTGCGTCTTCTTTCAAAGCAAAATCTGCTTTTTTTTTCTCTGATGAAAGGCATTTATTGGTGTGGTGTGTCTGCACAGCATTCAGGTCTGGTTCCAGGGGGTCACATGCACTGGGTCAATTAAATCCTTATTTGCATAACCCCTGGTCCCCCTGCAGTTTTGTTTACCAGCATTCGCAGATAGGCGACGTTCTTTCCTTTGGATTCCGGTAAGTTTGTGTTGTACAGAGTATGTCATATGCTTTTTTTGTTGTTGATATTCCTTTTTTATTTAACTAAATTATTTTATTTTATTTATATATTTTTATCGTATTGACTGTTTTTATGTTTCATCTATTGTACTGTTTTATCGGTTTAACTCTTACCTTAGTCTGGCTTTGTTTAGCTTCCTGTTGTTTTATTGCCTCACATTTGCTGCTTTGTAAATAAAGTTATTATTAATATTATACGGTTTGTTCTTAAACCATGTTTAGAAGATTTGATATTGAACACAGAACATCACGCAGCTTTGAATACAGACAGTAGAGCACACGATTAGATAATTTACTTCACGTGGACCTGATGAAAGTGGGCTGATGAGTTTATTTATGTCATGAAAACATAATGATTGAAGTGCAACAGTGTGCAGCGTTCTATCCTGTTGTAAGCGTACAATCTGTATTTCTTGCGTCTAACATCTGCTTAGTATTCATCGATGTCTGAGAGCTTTAAGGAGACGATTACTGCGTATAGCGATAATAACCTTGACGTGTGATCGGCGCTGGTGTGGGTGAGGAGGGAGAAAGAGTAGGTGAAGAGGAGGCAGAAGGAGAGGATGCATCCAGCTTGTAGCCGTCCACAGGCAGCAGAACGCCTCTCTCCAGACAACCGTACACGTAGTCCACCCCGACCACGGGCGTCTGGTGCCTCTGGATGCCACGCAGCCGGTTGGAGCTCAGGTCGGCCACATCACTGGTCACTATCAGAGTGCACTGTGGGAAAAAAGAAAATCAGAGTGCACTGTGGGAAAGAAAGAAAATCAGAGTGCACTGTGGGAAAAAAAATCTGAGTGCAAGATGTGATTTTTGTGACTGTGCATGAACATTGGACCACTTGGATGATATACAGTATTTATATTTAGTTTTTGATAACAGACGTGGGTAATGATCCTGATCCTCGGACCTGTTTATTGACCACATAGCAGATGTTTCCTCCGTTCTCCGTTACTGCTGATTTCAGCTTCTTCTTCTCCTTGAAGGGCAACGTTTTCAGCTCCAGAAGAATGGAGCAGTGTTCAAACACAGACATGTCTGATGGAGAGGACGCACAAGAAGACCATGTTAGGAAATGTTTATATCATACAATGTTTTCAGCTTTGTTTGTTGTCTCTCTCTCTCTCTCTCT